CATCGATAACGATATAAAAAATGTTCGATATAGCGCACGATATAGGCATGTACTATGAGTGATGCAGACAGCTCACACAAACACGAACACATGCTGAATTGAGTGCTGTGCCTGCCTGTGATGAGGAGATTGTGAATAAAGAATGAAGATTAGTCGAATTTAAAATAAACATTTGCAGTTGAATGCAAAAATGGTACAATCGAATGTTAGGAGTGCGTCAGGGAGCGTCATCAGTGGTGCGCGAGATGCAGTGATGATGATATAAGTGACGTTGCATTTTAATGTTTTGTTAGTCTTGCCCATGAGACGCGCCGCTGCTGTGCTATTCGTTCAAAATATTAGAGAAATACAGTAGCTCAAAGCCATTCACCCAGAACCCATATTCAGCACATTTTTAGACAGACAAATATGACTGCTGCACTCGCGTCTCATGCAAGAGATGCAAAGAAAATCATGCAAAGTTAAAACAGTTTTAACGTTTAGAAAACGCGACGCGAATTTGTGAAGGTTTATTTCATTTCACTGCATCTCATATGTTTTTAAATGCAATGTGTGATCAGCGATTTGGCTCTTTGTATTAGGCTAAGCAATGCATAAACAACATGATACTGTTTTGTTCAGAATTGTTTATGCAGTTTACAAAATTTATATGTTAATTTAGACGTTATGCACGTTTTTATAGACAGTTATTTGAATTGACAATTAATGCAGTCTCCGTGGGGACAGGGCCTAAGTCACTCTTCTAGTGTCTGCACTGGTAATACATATTTTGTTATGCATTATGCTTACGAAAAAAATAAATAAAACAATTACAGAGTCACAAAGAGCTCACAGCATTCTCTTCAAATGTCATCTCTTCTGAATAACTTATTTCTTTAATGTGATGTGTTGCAGAAGAAGAAGAAATTAAATACAGAGTTTCACAGTTCCACAGAGCAGAACAGATACGGACTCAACATACAACACTATCTGAAGTAGATCTGGCTAATAAATAAAGATTATTTGATAATAAATCAAAATATGGGATATACCAGGGGTTCACAAACCAAAAAGAAACAGAAAACGAAATGTCCTCATCATAATACGTGTAAATGTTTCCAAATCACCTGATGAGATGTTGCTCAGGTCTTTGATTTCTGACTGATTACTTGACAACGTGTTGTCCACTGTATTATTTAAAATATTACAAATTTCAAATATTCAAATTTTAAATTAATTATTATTGAAAAAAATTTTGTTTATTATTTTTAAAACAGTTTTTTTTCCTGCTTTATTATTATTATATTATTAAAAACCAATGTATGCACATAATTTAATGTCCATGTATCTAAGAACAATCTCTTCAATTTTTCAATGAATTATTACAAATATTCAAAATCTTTTCATTGCGTCACTGAAAATGATACTTGGCTCTACTTTGACTGTTTGATGGCAAGCCTCCTACGGCAATTAGGAGCATATATATGCATCTTATGAGTAGCTGAATGGGATCATGACATTAGATCTAATGCCCAGAGGGGTTGTGAGAAACTTAAGACATTGCCACACATTTTCACACACTTTATAAAAAGACCATACACTTGTAAGCAGGACATTGATAGAGCTATATGGATGCCAGTGACTATAAAAGCAACAAGCATGTAGGAAGCGTCAGCTTAAGAAAACACCAACGAATCATCCTATTATGGGTTTCAACATCTCAGAACAACTAGATCAATGGATGATACAGAACTTATAAATCATTCATTTTTTAACATTAATGACAAAGTTGTAAAACCAATACCGTACAGTTCAAAAGTCATGCCGAATGTGGATTTGCGGAACATTAATCATGATTTTTGTATCCTAACTGGTCAGAAATGAGTTTCTTTCAATACAAAACTCAATCAAGTAGCACCAGTCAATTATTGTGCAATGTCTTGCAAAGAAAGAAAAACCAAATAATGTCCATGTGACTATCCCTAACAAAACTGCAACTGAAATGTCCTACCAAACCTTAAAAAAAGTCAAGTTTTACCTCCAGATAAAACATGATCTACATTATGATTAGTGTGTGAACCTTTCATTTAACTGCAGAAGCACCTAAATTAGGTATAGTTGAATTAAATGTCACTGCCAAACCCTGGAAATCGCAGTGTGTCGTGAGAGACAAAGTTCAGATATTCTTATATAACTGAACATGAAAACATCAAGCTATAGTGAAAGATTACATTTGAATAGGAACGATTTGTCAGCATGATGTGAATATAACATATAAGGCATGGCTAACATAGATGCATATAATTAGTGTTATGTAAGCACTGAAATTAAGGAAAGCATATAATGAATCACGAAACTCACAGAGCTACACTTAAGCATGTTTTTTGCAATCTCTTTCAAGACAAAACTCAATTAAATAGTGCTAGTGAATATGTATCAATCCGTATGCAATGACGTGCAAAGAAAGAAAAACTTCCAAAAAGAAACCAAATAATGTCCACGTGACAAAAAAAGGAGTTTTACCTCCAAATAAAACATGATCTACATTTTGAAGTGTGTGAACCTCAATGCAGTTTCATTTACGTGCAGAATCACCTAAATGAGGTGTAGCTTAAATGTCACGACTTTCAATTACTGGAAAACTGTGTCAAAGTTTAGATATTACAGAACATGACCTCGAGCCGTAGCGCAACATTACATTTGAATTCGAACGATTTGTCAGTATGATGTGAATATTACATATATAAGGCATGGCTCACATAGATTCATATAATTAGCGTTATGTAAGTGCTGGAGATGTTTGGAAAGCATGCAATGAATCATGAAACTCACAGAGCTGCGTTTACGCAGGCTTTTTGCAATCGCTCCAAGGGTCTTTTGTTTCCTGATATACAAGGGAAGACATCCCAGTTGACATTTACAGGCCTAGCTAAATAGTACACGGCATTTCCACCGATGCAACACTCAGTTTATGCGTGTAATTGAGTCAAAGCGGCGTCCGTGCATTTCTTTATTCAGGCCGAAGCTGCGCTTTGAAGTCGCTGCATTCCTGCCCGCGTGCAGCAGCGGCTGTTCCAACATGTTGCGAATACAGTGAGCGGCGACTGTTGACTTACAACCAAGTGGCGATTATGTCTTTTATAAAAGACAAGAGTGCTGTTCAGAAGATAGCCTACTTGACGCGTTATATTGGAGAAACTCGCACGCGTACGCGAACCAAAGGCATCAAGTTGGTTTCTCTGCGCGGTGGATTAAATACTATTTATATGCAAAACTAGATAGCAGTATCGGTTTCGTCTCTCTTTAACGCGGTTTGGATCCATCACGACTCGCTGTTTTGTTTTGTTTTGTTTGCGTGTTTGTGCAAGTGTCTGCTATAACTCTTTAAAGCACACACGCTTCAATTCTGCTCGCCCAGACTGTTTTGTAGACTATTTTCACACAACCGCGACTGCATTTACAAGTAACAGTGTGTTTACTTCTCCAAGCCGAGGCGAAGAACTCCTAAACACTTACCTTCGGAGACAAGCAGGAAAGTTAAAAGAGTGCCACAAAGCAGCGCAGTGAGCCTCATCGTGAAGAATCCTCTCTCTCGCGCTTTATGTCGCAAATGTTTCTCTTTGAAGTATCAGCACCCTTCAGATGAACTGAATTAGATTAATAACTCTTTAAAAATCATTGTTTAAGGCGTCTGTGGTCCCGTTTAGACACGGGCTGAGTTGATGTACAGACACGGCTCAAATCAGGACAGCGCAACTCCACCGAGAACCTCGAAATGTTGTTGCACAGTCTGCCGCTGCTGCTGCTGGAATGATCAAAAGGTGCATTGGGTTGTACCATGTGTGTTTCAGGGGTAGTTCGTATTCCAGTCTAGGATATCTTGAGGGAAACCGAGGGGACAAATCACAAATCGCCGTTCACACTAGTAAGAAACTTTTCTAACTTCGCACTCGAGGTTTCGGCCGCTCTGGAAGTCCAATGTAAAGGACTGTTTTGGGAATGCGCGCAGTTCGTGCCTCGCCACCAAAACTTTGAAGTTCTTTGAACCCTTTTCAAACGGGAGACTATGCAGCGGCCCTTCTAAACACAGAGTGAGGCAATCCAAGTCAAATAAGGGTGTGGCTGACTCTTAACTTTTATAAAGAATATCTCTTTGGATTTGAGACTTTAGTCTTTGCAACTTTACAGATCTTCTTTATGCACCAAGAGCTTGTAACACTCTAAAGAGAAAGGAAAAATTTAAATCGCATCATATGACCCCTTTAAATAGAGTACTTATTACTGAAATTATATTCTCTATTCTAAATTATATTCTCTAAATAATAATATTATCTATTCTATTTCTATTCTTACTTGTCTTCTTTAAAAAAAAGAGCACCTCTGACACTAGCATTCTCTATTCTTTTTCTATTCTGTCTTGTTTTCTTTTTATTTATTATAAAAAATGACCCTCTAACACTAGCATTCTCTATTATCTTTCTATTCTACTTATTTATTATATTAAAATAAACCTTGCTATGTGTACTGCGTTAGGCTAACCGAGACTTGTCATAGCACTTACATATTATTGCCCCTTTGTTAGTTTTGATTGCTTCTATTGTCCTCATCTGTAAGTCGCTTTGGATAAAAGCGTCTGCTAAATGACTAAATGTAAAAGTAAAATATTCATGCAAACTGAATGTAATGTTTTCAGACACTTAACTGCATGTTAACTGCAATTAAATGAAAACGTATTATAGTTTAAGTGTATATTAACTGCAAATAGCTGAACTTTAGAGTGTTTTTGTAAACCGATTTAAGTAGGAGTATGTATCTTTATATGCAATTTCATAATTACTTCTATATTGTCTTTGAAATATGGTTAAAGCTGAATGTACTGACAAGCATTTATGCTAAACTAAAATATAACGTCATTTCTATTGAAACTTGTATGCTGTATAGTTGAATATATTTGTATTTGCACATTTGTAATGATAAAGCTGCAATTTAGCACATTTAAAATATATGAACTTTAAATGTAATGTCAAAGAACACACTAGAGTTAAAAAAAAAAAAAAAGGAAAATTCTGTCAATATTTACTCAGCCTCATGTCGTTCCAAACCTGTATGAAATTCTTTCTTCTGCTGAACACAAAAGAGGGTATTCTGAAGAATGTTATTGACGGCAGCCATTGACAAAAAAAATGCTATATGGAAGTCAATGGCTACCGGCATGTAAATATTTTCTAAATATATACTTTATGTGTGTGTATTTATATATACATAATAAACATACACAGTACACACACATATGTTTTGTAAACAAAAACTTTTATTTTGGATGCGATTAATCGCGATTAATCGTTTGACAGCACTAATAAATACATATATATATATATATATAAACATTAGCTAGTTGCCTATTATCTTTCTATTCTACTTATTTATTATATTAAAATAAACCTTGCTATGTGTACTGCGTTAGGCTAACCGAGACTTGTCATAGCACTTACATATTATTGCCCCTTTGTTAGTTTTGATTGCTTCTATTGTCCTCATCTGTAAGTCGCTTTGGATAAAAGCGTCTGCTAAATGACTAAATGTAAAAGTAAAATATTCATGCAAACTGAATGTAATGTTTTCAGACACTTAACTGCATGTTAACTGCAATTAAATGAAAACGTATTATAGTTTAAGTGTATATTAACTGCAAATAGCTGAACTTTAGAGTGTTTTTGTAAACCGATTTAAGTAGGAGTATGTATCTTTATATGCAATTTCATAATTACTTCTATATTGTCTTTGAAATATGGTTAAAGCTGAATGTACTGACAAGCATTTATGCTAAACTAAAATATAACGTCATTTCTATTGAAACTTGTATGCTGTATAGTTGAATATATTTGTATTTGCACATTTGTAATGATAAAGCTGCAATTTAGCACATTTAAAATATATGAACTTTAAATGTAATGTCAAAGAACACACTAGAGTTAAAAAAAAAAAAAAAGGAAAATTCTGTCAATATTTACTCAGCCTCATGTCGTTCCAAACCTGTATGAAATTCTTTCTTCTGCTGAACACAAAAGAGGGTATTCTGAAGAATGTTATTGACGGCAGCCATTGACAAAAAAAATGCTATATGGAAGTCAATGGCTACCGTCAACATATTTACATTTTTGGGTGAACTATGCCTTAAGACATTGGCCCTCATCTGGAGATTTAAAAAAAAAAAAAAATTGGGGGGAATGCTAAATAACAGGTAGGGAAAGATGCCTGCTTAAGAACAGTGTACATTTACTGCTAAATATTCATACAGGCTTATGATGGCAAGGGTTAACTTATCTCTCCTGTCAATGGATTTCTGTCTTTTTTTTCTTAACACTTAACACAGTGAACACACTAAAAACTGCACTTTTTAATAATGTCAAATTAAAAGTTTTGAAAAAGGGAGCTCATCTTTTGATTGTTGTATATTATTATCAATTATTGAGTTCATAAACGTTTCAGTGGCTTTCTCTAGGATGTTAAATATGAGTCGTAAAAAAAAGAGAACAAGCCATTAGAGCAGTTTGTGTATAATGAACTTGGGTTTGATGTACTGTATGTCCATCTGTGTGTTCCTTAATGCATGTATAAACACAAACATGTACATTAAGCTTGAACATTACTAGCATATTTGACAAAAATATTACCTTTTGGCTCTAACAGCAATGCAATCTTTTGTAATCACTGCATGCTGTGAACTGAGTGAGAAAGTAGACCCCGCCAAAAATTCACTACATTATCACATTAAACAATAACTACAACAGAACATCATGTACAGTATGACTGAACAGAGACAATAAGCAAGAAATTAAATAAAATACATACAATTATCCATATACTCCAGGGTTATTATAATTAACTACAGCTAAAATCATAAAAATAAATTTTGTGTTACTTGACATAAAATAAGTCTAAATAAAAACAAGATCATATATATATATATATATATATATA